ATCCACATACACGTACTGGAAGCGGTGCAGCCGAGAGAAATACTACGAAATGAAGAGAACAGACTGTTGGGAATAAATTAATACAATTTCATGGACCAAATATTAGAATTTCGGTTGTAAATGTAGGTCAGTGCTTCTAATAGTGTTTAGGCCAGCAGAGAAGGCCTTGCTGGCCCTAACAGCCCGCCACTGCAAATGAACGCAAATATCTGATGCATGCATGATATAAAACACAACCAGTTTGACCCTATATCTGTTTTATAGCACCAGAAAAATGTTAGTTGTATTTAAGGCAACAATTTGTCATTGTTTTTTATTTATTAATATTGACAAGCATCACATTTAGACTCTGACAGTGGTGGCTAATTAGAGCCAGGGGGTGGCGGGAGCCTGGCCACCCCCTGGCTCTGCCCATGAGTGTAAGTGGCAAAAATGTCAGCAGATGATGTTAATTATACAACATTTACAGTATATTAATGTTCCCTAACTTCAGCTAACATTAGCTAACAGAGGTCATACCAGACAAGTGAGGCTATAGCAGCAAATACTTTAGGTGTGTGGAACTGAGCGAGGCCACTATGCATATCAGTACACACAAATTACAAAACATCAGAAATATACAAGTATTTTTTAAATGTGTGCTTATGGAAACTTACCTTTGGCTTCTCTCTGTGTGTGTCGACTGCTTCAATGTTAAGGTAAAATGACTCAACTGTACATCCTACAATCGCAAAGAAAAGCAGACTGTCAGGAAAAGATCAACAGACATTGGAGAGGTTGTATTCTCAAACACTTACCACCTACCATAAGCGATTGGTGTGAGTTTAAGTATCGTGTGAAGGGGGCACCTTAGATAAGGCAGCTCTTCTACAGTGGAAGGAAAATAAGATTTTTGAGAGTCTTTGTGGTATTACAGCATCACATACTGTTGTGTCAAGGTGTCACTAAAGAAGCCAGTCCATGCACTGGTGGAGCTTGGTTCTCTTTGTACCTGCAGGTTTGTCTAAAAAGTAGGCGAGAAGGCAGCGCATCACAGCTTGGTGGCAGATAACCAGAACGTTTTCCTGCCGTTCCAGCTCCATAATGACCGGCTCTAGACGATGGACGAGGTCCTCATAGGACTGGACAGGAGACAAACCTTTTTAATAATTAATACTGTATGTCTGGCAGAATAAATCTGGGAGGAGGAAGTGATCCTTGAGCAGGACTATTAAGAAATTGTTTAACATTTTGAGAAATAGGCTTATTTTTCTTTCTTAGGGACACTTTGAAATCATTTTTACTTTAATATTTTAAGGAGAGATTTGAGAGTGAAATCACATCTTCTGTGTTTGTCCTTTGACTCATAAAACTGATCCAGAGGAGCTGCTCAGTCACACTGTGGTTATACTGGGCAGATTCCAGGTGTGAGTGTGTGTGTAACTGTTTCAGTGTGACTAGTGTGTCCCAGTAAACCTCCCAGTGCCACTTTCCTGGCGAAACAAAGGCTTAAAAAGTAAAGGCACAGTAAGGATGTGCTCACCTCTCCCTTGGGATAGCGATAACGGTACTTGTCTTGGTCTCTCAGTGCAAACTCTTCTGGGAAATTTGCCTGAATCTCCTCATAGGTGAGCTCCTCACATACACCCTTAGTGAGAAAAAGTAGCAACAGGGCGTTGTCACAATACTTTTTAGTGTGTAAAACCCTGAAATGCACAACTGCTAATTCAATTTACCCTGAACACACAGATGCAACGTGAAAATATCTTCCAGACATAAAAATAGCTTTATATGCCGCTTTGTCTGTGAAATGAAATTTTGTTTTAAGTTGGACTTTATAAAACTCACAGCGTCTATCTCATTGAGGGCCTTCCACTGTTCATACTGGACTCCCAGAGCCTCTGCAGTCTGGATGGTCCTCTTCATGTGACTTGTCCACACCCTCAGGTCAAGGATATTCTGCTCTCTGAGGAAGGTCGCCATGGCGTTCGCATACTGGAGAGAATGAAGGGTCATTTGGAAAATGAAGTTACTGTTAATTGTTGTACAGTTTGCATAAGAGGATTGAACTCCATGAACTCTACCATGAGATTTCAGTCTGCTCACATTGTGTCCTCCAGTGGACAGACTTGAATCTCCACCAATGCGACCTAAAAGGTTGAGTTCACTCTCTCCGTGGCGGCTGAGATAGATGGATCTTGGTGTGACGTGGATGTTCATGAGGTAGTAAACTATCCTGCTCTGAATGTGGTCCTGGACCTGGTTCACCAAGTATCTACTGCCCACATCAAAGATCTTGATGTAGGAAAGATTCCTGTTAAGAGCAGTGAAAAAAACTAATAAACTTTAAAACAAAGTTTTCCTTTTCCCAATTTTGTTATAATATGAAGAGCAGCATCATGGTGAAGTACCTGTCTTTGTCATCATCTATAGGCATGTAACTGAGCCTGTAACACTCAATGCGCTGGTTGAAGTCTTCCATGGCTTCATCTATGTCACGATCCACATAATCTGGACTCCCAAATTTTACTTGCTGAAAAGGAAAAACTCTTTTGGAATTCCACTGAAAAACCCACATCCCAGCCCAAACATCCCCCCAGCAGACAGTTTGAAGGTGCTGCCCACCTTGATATTTTCTGTAATGATGTTGGGGTCATCACAGATTGATTCCACAAAGAACACCTGCATAAGATTTCATTCAAAGGTTTGTACAGACATGAGAGTACTGAGTGTTTCATGTAACTCTCAACAAGACAGAGCTTATTTCCAAAAAAGCTGAACTGTTCCTTTAAACATCACTGCGTCCATTCCACACCTGTACTTACTTTATAGCCCATCTCCTTTGCAAAACTCAGAATGACCGCCCTCCTCTCCCTGGTGGTGTTGGTAGCATCAAACACCTGAATGGGGCAGCGCACAGGTGCTATCAACAATACACACATTTGGAAATAAAGTACATTCAGTGTATTCATGATGCCTGATCAATCAAACATCTGGATTCTTAGACAACATATTATGTCTAACACATTTTAATACAACATCAACCTATATATATGCACACAACTGAGGATCATGGTATGTAGGACAGTATGTAAAATCAAAGTTAAAACTGAAAATAATGACATGTAACTCATCTGTGTTCTGTATTATATCAAAAAACAACTCATAGTTTGATGTTATACCTCATCGATTTTATTCTTTGTTCAAAATAAACCCTCACTTCGATTCTGATGCCTGCAACACATTCCAGAAAAAGTTGGAACTGCTGCATTTCATCGCTGGTCACCCATTATCTCTACTATACGCTTATTCCTGAATACGGTCACGGGCTAAGGTCCCACTGAGTCACAGACCACTTTATGCTGTTTTTATAGGCTGAGCAGCTCCGCTAATGACTGGCAACCTGATCTTCGTGTGTAAGCGAAGGATAAGTAAACCCCAGTTGCAGAATAAAACAAACATGCAATCAGTATTGTGATTAGCAGGACAGTCTCAGTTGTCCTCTTACTCACGGCTACTTGTCCCTGTTCCTTTGCGAAGTAGGCAGTGACATCCCTAAGGGCGGCTGCTGCACAGGCCCTGAAAGAAAAGTTATACTCAGACAGGTAAAGGAGTAAGAACTCAAAATACAGTTTAACTGAATAATGAATGACATGGAAATGACAAAAGGGATTACACATATAAAGCCCATGAGTCACCACTGACTTATCAAACTATTTGTAGAGTCCTTACTTGCGGATCCTCATGGCCTCCTTATTATCAGGCTTAAAGAATTCAAAGTTCTTATAGATCTTGACAGCCTCCCTTCGGTACTGGCCCACATTAAACACTGGTGGAAACAGGGAAACAGAAGAAAACTCATAGAAGTGACAGTATGATTAACCCTTGCTGTAGTTAACACTGAAACACTCAACTCCTTGTCTCTTTCACACATTTCTATGATCAGGATTCAAGGATTCACTTTGAAAACGGACCCTTAGTAGGAACGCCGATCCAGTTCAGGTAGCGGGTGAGCTTCTTGGAGATGTATGTCTTCCCTCTGGCTGGCAGTCCCACCATCACAATCAGTGTAGGAGAATTACAGAACTGAGGCACCGAAGCTAAGTTGAAGACAAACACACAATAACAAAACTAAATTGTTGTTCCTGTATGTTTCACGTTTCATTCAGTAGAGCATGGACTTGGCAAATGCAATCCAGAGGCATGTACAACTCCCATAGGCTCTGTGCTGCAGGATATATGTTGTGTGTGTGTGTCGCTGCCAAGGTAGGTGAGAGACGATGAGGCCCATGGTGCAGCTAAATGTCTATAAACCAGTGTCCCTTGACTTATCTGCCTGCCTGGCTTTGACACAATAAATGGTCTAACCAACCAAACACAAGGAAAAAATGCACATAAAGTAAAATTAAGAAACAAAATAATCATTGGAAAATAGTCAAATACACCCTTTAAAAAGTGATGTTTATCAACCAGAGGCTTCTCCTGGTCCGGCAGCCACATTTTGGAAACAACAGCAACAATGGACCACAGCACATGTCTGACAATCACATGAACAAAGCACTAATCTAATCCACTCTTAATCCAGGTGAATTGAAATATCTTCCCTGCAGGCCAGCTATACACCACAATGTGTACACAAAACTAACCACCATTTCTTCTGGACACATCTAAAGCCTCAGTTCACATTGTTTCACTACACATTTGTCACAAGCGTCCTCTTGATGGTGAAAGGTAAAAGATCAAGGTCACTCACATCCATCCTATTCTTGTGAATGTGAAATCTCTGGAGGGGATTTATTTAGGTTTGGCACAAATGTCCCCTTGGACTCAAAGACAATGTGACAGAGCTCTGTAGCAGTCCTCTGTAAAAACTGTCTCTAAATGAAGGCAGCAGGTTTTTTTACTGGGACTTATTCAGTAGAATCTTGCATGTCAACATAGTGATACCATTTTGCCAAAAAAATACACTTCATATCTTTTATTGTGTCGTGGCTAGAGTGTGATGCCGGCTAAATTAATTCAGACAAACCATCCCAATTTAAAGGATCATTTAATATTACAATTATTCTGAATAGAGTAGCAGTTGAATAAACAATCTGATAGCTAGGGAAACAGAGAACAGATTCACTCCTCCTGCAATGGAATAGATACAGAGCTCAGCCTTAATTGTCACAAAATCAGTCAGTCAGTCTTTGTCAGTCAGCTGTTGTCACGAGTCAGTCTTTCTGTCACAGTCTCCCCCCGGCCGGGCCCCCAAAAAGTCCACGGTTTACTGTCCCAGTAGCATTCTCTCTCCTCTTTTCTTTCCCTGCTCTAACCCAGCTATTTATCTGCTCGTACTCACACAGCCCTCCATGGCCTGAGCCATGAAGACACGGTCCCATGCCAGCTACCCACACACACCTTCTTCCGAGCATTGTCTAAACTGTCCAGTACATGAACTTCTAGGTCGCATTGACCTGGTGCACATCTCCTTTTTCTCAACCTGAACAGAGCACACAAACAGTTCACATAAGGCTACAGCTACAGTATATCCATTCCCTATCTGAGGAGGAAGTCACTCGGGATGTTGACCCATAGGTTAAACAAGGGGGGACACAGCCCAAGATATTCTTGCCTGCACCCGAAACAGATCAAGCTTCCATACACACTTAGCTCAGCCTTACATCCTTACACAACTATCACAAATAATATCTAAATATGAACTACATACTGTTACCTATGAAACCTTGTGTATTTTTAGCCACTACAATTGAGTTCTTTCAAAGTCTTCATTAGGATGGCATGGTGTGCAGTGGTTAGCACTGTTGCCTCACAGCAAGAGGTTCTGGGTTTGAGCCCTGGCTGACCCAGGGACTTTCTCGTGGAGTTTTCATGTTCTCCCTGTCCCAGCGTGGGTACTCCAGCTTTCTCCCACAGTCCAAACACATTTTCTACTTACAAACAAACAAAGAAAGTGAGACAGATAGAGAAAAGCAACACCTAAGTCCAGTGTTAAACCAGGCTACTCTCTTTATTTCTCATTAATTATATGCTATCAGCTACTAGTGCAGCTGCTTCACACAACTAGGAAGCTACTTCATTGCCACATAAAGTATGGCATTAAATGGCAACACATGACGGCTATTTTTACTTTCATATCCTTGTTGCACTCAATCAGTATGAGCATATCTGCAGCCTGTATCTGTCACATATTAGTAGAAACTTTACTGTGACACACTTCCTGCAGAGGCAGGTCATCAGTGCTCTTACCTGCGCTACACCTGCGCAGCATTGCAGGTTCCAGATGGGGAAGCTCCATTCTGTGCTACCGAGAGAGCAGCTAAACACAGTTGACACAGTCAGCACACTGGGCTGTGTGGTCAGTGGCTTCAGAACCAGTGCTCTTTTTAAAGAAACTAAAGCCCTCTGCCACAATATTCCTCACCCCCTCCAAGCCCTGTCTTTTCACAGCACATGGACATATGATAGCAGCACACTGGGCTTGTCCTTTAATGTTTACCAGGGCCAGAGTTAACAGGGTATACACACAGCGAGGGAGCAGCAGCTCTCAGAGGTGGCTTGTCATAGTGCAAAGGTCACTAAGAAGGTGATTGCTGCTGTGCAGGGAGCTATGGCAAGATTCATGCTTACACAATCTGCATGTGGTGCATGCCTCACTGCTTAATAAACAGCAGTGAAGGAACCGTTGTCAGCCGTGTGGTATCACTCAGGCATGTAATACCCTCTTCAACAAACAGGGGGGGTGTGGTATTTGAGCTCAAAACCCACAGGCCAGACATGACTTAGATGTTGACACAACTTTGAAATTCAGCTCATCTCTCCAACACTAAACACATTTTCTGCTTTGCACCATGTTACAATTTAACATAATACTTTTTGCAGAACACGACGTGCAGTTCTCTATATAACTCACAGAAATCTTCCATAAAGTTCCTCGTTGGCCATTTCAAAACTCTGCTTCTGAATACGACACTCGAGGCATTTGTTCCATCGCAGTCCAGCCATGGAGGACACTGCCTGCGATGTCACTGAGGCACTGTGGCCCAGACCCAGCTAGGCGGCATGATGCAGCCCATGTGTCCCTTCTTGTGAGGTCTCAGGAGTGCCTTGAGGGAATTCCTTCAGATCTAGCACATATGTCCACTTGGACTCAAAGATGAACTGATTAGATTTTGGTGGTCAAAGGTCAAGCTCAGCGACCTCACTTCTGTCCTATACCCATTAACTTGACTGGTTGGTGGTGTGGATGTCTGATCGCAGGTGGGCCGGAGCTCACACCTCCTTGCTGGAATGTGATCTACACCGGGTGTCTGTGTGTGTGTGATGCTAATTTGTATGTTAAACTGACCAGGTGGTCATCTCAGGTTGTGGGCCCCCGGTCTCTGCAGGACATCCCAAGACAAAGCAGAACTTGGAATATGCTAAGTGGGTCTAGGTGTGAGTGCAAAACAAGCCAACTTGTCTTTGTTAAAATGTGAATTGGCTGTCTGGTCACAAAGAGATGCAGACATCTAGTCTCTACACAGAAGTTACAACATTCAAAGTAAGCAGATTCTGCTTCATTACAGCTGTAAGATATATAAGCAAGGGAAACAAATGCATTAAAATAACCAAAGCTCAGTAGTTCTGGACAATCATCAATACAGCTGTAATATGCATAAACAAGTAAGATAAAGTTATGAAAGGTAACTAAAAGGAACTACAGGTATGAGAAGTAACTAAAGCTGATAAAGTAACTAGAGTCTATAAGACTCAAATCTTACACAAGTATATGATATATGGAGCACCATTGGACAGGTAAAGGTCCTTACACTCACAGCTGGATTCCCCTGACCTACACTACAGGCTAGCTGGATGTTTGTGGCCCAATTGCTTATGGGCTGCTACAGTCTGGGGAAAAAGGTCACGTGGACACTATGTTTTGTTGGATTATATTTTGAGTTATCTGATTGATTTAATCTGCTTTTGCTACTCAAGGGACTGTAATGGTAAGTCTTTTGTTAAACACTGCATGCCTGTTAATGCCCTATTTCTGATAAGGAGATGGTAGGATTTAAATTATCTTAGTTAAAAAGAGGACTTATAAAAATATTTGATTATAAGGCTAGTATTTCTAGTAACTAGAAATTGTGAAAAATGTTAGAAATTAACCCAGTTATTTTGTTGGAAGCATGAGAAGTGAAGACAGGAGAGGACTGTTTAAAATCAGCAGGATGTTTACTGGAAGTCTGAGCACAGGTATAACAATACAGCGCTGGGATCAAAGAGACAGAGCTCCCGCAGGAATTCCATTCTCTGAACCACAAGTTACGTTTTAACAATACTTTTAAGTTCTTGGGCTGCTCTGCCCTGGACATTCCACACTTCATAATCCTGTTGATAAGTTTAACAGGTTTTTTGTGAATGTTGGTCCTAGTTTAGGAAGAAGCATTTGTACTGATGATACATCCGTCACTATAAATAATAACACAATTGAAAAGAACATGAGTTCTATGTTCTTGAAGCCCATAGTTGAAAAGGAAATTATAGAGATAGTGAACAAATGTGATAACAAAACATGAAGTGATAGTGATGGTATCACTATGACAACTGTTAAATGGGTAATTAAAGAGATACGCAAACCATTGAAAGATATCACCCAGTTCTTCTAACCAGGAACTCAGAGAGACGAGGCGGACCACTTGGATATATAAAAAATAACCGTGCTGGTTTATTCAAAGGATCACAGGTAAAATTAACATTACACGTCCAGGCATCTTCCACCTCCAAACCTGCGCGCAGGCAGCATGGAGGATAAAAGACCCTGAACCCAAGATCTCTATACAATTTTATCCCTTGGTTGGGCTAGCCCATGCTACACAGGAACGTCAACCGTGACGTCACCTGATATGCCAGCTTCACAGCTGGCCGTAGCAGTAGTCAAAACATGGAGAGAATCAATGTGTGTGTGAGTGATGATCATGTGGTGTGTATCTAAAAACATACAGGACATTCAGGGACATGTCCGAACAGTAAGCCTCGGAAGATATTATGATTAAGATTATGGCTAAACATATTATAATAATAACAATATTCATCCTGCCTGCTGACTTTTTCTATCTGGTTGTCCTTGGGGCCCCCATGCAGCCTGCAGAACTCATGACAATGAACTAAGCATTTAACAGCCTGAGCATAGACAGCCTGTCTCCACTAAACTAATACAACAAATATCTAATCAATATCTATCTGACTAAGAAATTACCTAACAATATTGACTTATACAATTGTTTGTTATGTAAATAACATGTCTGTCTTTTAAGCCGAGAGCTGCCGGAAAAAAATTTGTTGTGTTATGCATAATGACAATAAAGATTCTTGACTAATGTAGAGACTGTTAGTTTAGCTGGCAAATACAATAAACTCCCTACTGCTGTGTTGTATTTCTAATAATAATGGAGAAAATTTTATTTTTGACTCCAAAAGTGCCTCAATCTTCAAACTAAATTACCCAGAAAATAACTTTAAAATATAGTTTAAAAAATCTCAAAACCAAGACACAGGTGTATCATCCAATTAGTCTGGCAGAGATCATAGTCCCCTGTTTGGGTTGTCTGAGGAGATGAGATGCATACCATGTTACCTATCCACACACACACACACCCTCCAACCCCTGAGTGCTCACAAGTGTGAGACGTGAGGAGTGGTGGTGAGGTGAGAAGTGGAAACGTGTGGGGGAACCCCTACTGGGCACAGAGACAGATGCCCCCACCCCACAAACATACAACCACACACACATATTAGACATAGCCCTGCAGCCCCACCTTTGACACTAAGCTTCCACAAACAGGGAACTCTGGCTCATCCCCTCTAACACAGACTGGCAGGTGAAGCTAAGCGCTCTCTCTTTTCTCCTCAACTCCTCTCCCTTTCTGTCTGTCTTCTTGCCCTTCTCCACCTCTATGTGTGTGTTTCTATCTTTCACTCACGTTATCTTCTATTTCTGTTTTCCTACCTCCATCTGTTTTTTCTCTAACCCCCTCCTCTCCTTTCCTTTTCTCTCTCCTCTCCTCTCTCCCCCTCAGAGGCTGCAGGCTGGGGTTGAACTCATCTGTCAGGATCAGAAAGGGGCTGGAGTGATGGGAGACTCCTGTTTCACCAAGATAAACAGCCAGCTCAGATCAAAATACCCTCCCTTAAACACACACACACTCATACATGCACACTTACTTGCATGTGTAAAGACACACACGCAGAGCGAGTGATCCATCTCACACAACGTGATGTCAGATTGACGGTGTTAGCTCCTTGTCATCTTAGAGAAGGTGCAGCATCCAAATTCAGGAGGCACCTGGTTATTTACAAAGTTAATCATGGAAAACTCTGCTAAACTTGGCTAGACAACTCAGGCTGCTTGTGATTGACAGTGACCGAGCAAAGATGTCGATATAAATCGTTAGAAGACAAGAACATATTTTTGGACGAGGCATAGAGACATCTGTATTCGCTTTGACTGATCTGTTGAGAGCAGCTGAATATCTAAAAAAACTAACTTCCTTCTCTCTTTTTTTATTGCAGACGATAGCTACTTCAACACTTGCCAAGATGACAACAGTTGCCCAAATGTTCTATTTGATGTTTTGAGCCTCAAGAGCAAGTGGGAAAGAAGGAGTGATACAGAGGAAGAGAAACTTAGAAAAAACTGATAATAAATTGCAATTGGGGGAAAGGGGGAGACTGAAAGCAAATGAGAATGAGAGGAGTGGAAAAGAACATTAGCTTGAGAGGTGCCAAGTTCACTATCTACCACCTTGAAGTGTGTGAAGTGCCGGGTGTTGTACGGGGTAGGGGTGGGGTGGG